GCTCGTAACATCTGCTGGGCTCACCTGAGAGAACTCCCAGCTTCTCTGGCTGGAGACTGAAGGGAAAGGAAACCCTCTTTTGTCACTGCCTAGGGATCAGGTCTGCTGCCTTCACGGCTCTTTCTGCTCCAGCCTCTGAGTGTCTGCTTATGGAGTCAGAGACCAGGCTCTACAAAGGGTCTTCCCAGAGGGCCATCATGTTTTCTAGTGTTCTTTTTCTGAGCCACAGCTGCACTCCTCTGTCCCTACAACCTGAATGTTGGCGCCTAGGCTGTTGTCTGGAACACATGACTCACACAGTGGTTATGGAGTCAGTCTCTCCTCCTCTAGCTCTTGCAGATTTAGCCATTTCAGGCCCCGGAAATGCTGGAGAAAGCCACACACAGCATCTCTCTCCATTCAGGGGCTGAGGCAGCTACAGATGGGAGACTTTGTTTGGTCTCTTTCTTCCTTCCTCTCTTCCCTTGCTCTTTCTCCCTCCCTCATTTCCTTCTCTTCTCACCCTTCCCTTCCTCCTCTCCTTAATCTCCTCCCTGTGATGGATCCTGGAGGGAATCACTGGTGCCCTCTGGGCCTCTTGGTTTCTAAGTTATGTCTTTCCATTTTCTCTGCATGGGACTGTAGGGTCTGAGGAGGTGGAGACGAGAGAGCTGGGAGAAGCAGGTTGGAGGCTGCCCTCCTGGTATTTGAACTCCACGTCCCCCCACAGCCTCCCTCGGGAAGATCTGGAAGGTCTAAGGGGACAGATTTTTGTTGCACCTTGAAGGACGCCTTGGCTGGTTCAAGCCTGGAAATGCTCCACGTGGGGTCATCCTTCTCTCCAGGTGTTCAGTCTCTCATCCCAATTGCCCGGCTTCTCTCATCTTCCATTTGCCTTCCCCTCAGAGGCCGGGCCAAATCCCATGAGGACAATTCATAGGCAGGGAGCCGTGGCCACCTCCTTCCCACTTATTAGGGCAGAATCGCTCTGACGAAGCCGCAACAGCCCAGCTAGTGCCTCATTATTTTGGGCTTCATTGAAATGCACGGCAGAGCCATCCTCAGTACTTTATGTACTAAACTTAACTACAGTAATGTATTCAAATCATTCTGAATTTATCTAGCCTGAGCATCTTTTTTTTTTTCCTCTTCCTCCTCCTCCTCCTCCACATATATATTTTTTTGAAGACAGCAAATGTGCCTTTTGAAACAACAGCTTAGGGCCACCTATTCTGCGTGGAAGGGACAGGTGGCCCCTTTCTGTCTCCATTGTCCCCTCTCTCAGCCAGGGTCATCCAGTGCTTACCTGATGGCCGTGGCATTTTGGGACCCATAGTGCCCCTTCTGGCTCCCGTGTTCCACCTTCGTCATTCCTTCCCCACGTCCCTGCCATTGCTGGGAGGTGAACTCTGGAGTGGGGGTGACCTGTGAGGCCCAGATATCAAATTCCTGCCCGGGGAGCCAAAAAGGTGGCAACACCTGGGGTAATCAGAAAGGCACTGATGAGAATGAAGGAGTGCAGAGGGCAGAAGAGCCCAGGAAAAGGATATTGCCTGGGAGGTAGGAAATGGGTTCTTCTCTCCAGTTTGGTCATTTTCCTTCTGTGTGGTTTTGGGACACTCTATCCTCTTCTCTGGGGCTCAGTTTCCTTCACAGTAAAACTTACGGTGGTGAGGATGGTGGTTTTGAGCCAGGTCAGGGGCTCTTAGCTTGGAGTGCATGCATGAGCTTTGGGGTGGTCCATGAAATTGACATTGTAAGCAACATTGCATTATTATCTTTTTGTGGTGGAGAGAAAGTCCATCACTTTCATTGAATTTCCAAAAGGCTCTTAGCTATCAGAGGCTAAGCTCTCATATATTTACAGGAGCCAGGGCGCCATTCACCTTCAGATGCTTTTGTTCAGTGTCCTGGTTTTAGAGATGGGGCCACCGAGGCTCAGAGAGGCGACTGGCAGGTGCTGTGTGCCATTCTGATGGCGATCCCCGAAGGCAGATCCAGGCAGGGATCCAGGCCCAGAGAGTTTGGGAAGAACCAACTGGACTCTGTCTTAGAACCTGACCTCCCAGAGAGGTATTGGGAAACCCAGGGGAGAGGAGAGACGTGGACATAAGTAAATCAGGAACCACACATACACCAAAACTTTTGGCAAAAGTAAAAACAACCGCGTGATATTGGTTAGTGACAATCGTTTGATGTGGGTTTCAGCCTGCACCTCTCTCTTCCAGCATCAACATGGCGGCTCTGGTCCACCAGAGGGAGAGGCTATAGCTGAGGACACGTGGCAGCTCCTGGGCCCTCCTCCCTCTGGCTGGAGACTGGACTCACTGTTCAAAAAGCGTCTCGTTTCTGTGGCACTGGGCATCTCCCACACACTCTTCCGCTCTTCAGTGTCTAACTCTTGTGGCTACGGTCAGAAAGTAGACTTCCTCGAGCTGATGGAAGAAAAGAACCCCTGCTCTTCCCTTCCCAGGTGGAATTATTTTGTCTTCCCTTTGTTTGCTCCTGTGGGATTTGCTCCTGCTTTTTAGCTGGAGAGAGACCACCATTGGGTCATACTCTGTCCTGGGTGGATCTGTCATCCTGTGTCTTCTCTCTCGGGGCTGGGGAAATGGGTGCATGCATGAGCTTTGAGGTGGTCCATAAACCTCTTGAAAGTGTAAGCAACATGGCATTATTATTATTATTATTATTATTATTTTGTGTGTGCGTTGGGCAAGGGAGAAAGTCTATTGCTTTCATTGATTTTTCCAAACTTGGCTATCAGAGGCTAAGATCTCATATGTTTACAGAACCCAGGGCCCCATTCAACTTCAGATGCCCCATTCACTTTCAGATGGAAACAACTGAGCCTCCATTCATCTTTCCTGGACGCCTCCATAGTCCAATTTGTAAATGGCCCTGCAGTAAATACCCCATGGGAAGTCTGCAGCTACAGGTCAAATTTGGTCCCAAGCAGAAAATTCTGAACCTCAAATAAGCAGTTCAACATTCCTGTTTGCCTAGAAAACATGTTTCTCCATAGTCTTTGCCCACTAGAAAGACCTTTCCCAGGCACCTGTGCTTAGTATTTTCCCCTAATACTCAGCTAAATCGGTGCTTTCACTCTCCAGTCATGGAGGGAATATTAATCTAGAGTTGCTTTTAAACATGTAGTTAAAAGAGAGAATTCTGCTGTCTTTCAGAAAGGTAAAGACAAGCTTCCTTTGGTTATGGAAGTGTTACAGGATACCAACACTTACCCAACGTTAACCTTTGGGTTGGGGATTTTCTCACTGTAGTCCCTTCTGTGGTCGCTGGAAAGATGTTACAGAAAAGGGGTCCCGATCCAGACTCCAAGAGAGGGTTCTTGGATCTCGCGCAAGAAAGGATTCAGGGCAAGTCCATCGAGTAAAGTGAAAGTAAGTTTATTAAGAAAGTAAAGGAATAAAAGAATGGCTGTTCCATAGACAGAACAGCCCCAAGCACAGCTAGTTGCCCATTTTTATGGTTATTTCTTGATGATTTGCTACACAAGGTTTGGATTCTTCACGTATTCCCTTTTTAGACCGTATAGGATAACTTCCTGACATTACCATGGCTTTTGTAAACTGTTGTGGCACTGGTGGGAGAGTAGCAGTGAGGACGACCAGAGGTCATGGCGGTGGCCACCTCGGTTTTGGTGGGTTTTAGCAGACTTCTTTACTGCAACCTGTTTTTATCAGCAAGTTCTTTACGACCCGTGTCTTGTGCCGACCTCTTATCCTGTGACTCAGAATGCCTTAACAATCTGGGAATGCAGCCCAGTAGTTCTCAGCCTCATTTTACCCAGCCCCCATTCAAGATGGAGTCGCTCTGGTTCACACACCTCTGACAGAAGTGTCATCCCATGCAATTGAGGAAGAAGTTCTATGTGCTCACCATTAAATACAATTTCATAATGAAAATTTTGTCTTATGAAGGTGAAACTTTGAGAACCTATTAGAATTCTCATTTTTCTATGCATGGCAATCAAATGACCTTCCTATACTGCCACATAAAGTATAGATTTAAAGTTAAATGATCCAGTCAGTCATTTAACATTTTCTTAAAGAGTAATTTCTTCTATAGCTATAGATGTTTACATATGGTTTTCTTTTTGGTATTTACATTTTAAGAATTGAAGAAAAACTGACGTTCCTTTTTGGAACTGTTTTTTAATAGCCTTTGTTTATTTTTAATATGTGGCGTTCCAGGCCCTTGCTCTAATGATTTTTTTCACACTGCATAGATAATTAAATTCATTCATTTTCCCAGCTGCACAATTCCTTTAAGTAAAAAGTTATGGGTAATAACACCTCTTATGTTCAAAGTACAGAGGAGAAAAGGGCAAATCAGGATCTTTCTGTCGAGGGGAGTTACACAGTTGAGCAGGTCATGGGTTAGGGCAAAAATCTGTGTACACGTTCTCAGGTATTCAGGTCTTCTTAATTCATAGATTAGGACCCGTGGGTTTTGATTTTCTGATATTGAAAAATATGCCTTTTTCCCCCTTTATGTTCTAAAGATGTAATTTATCTCCTTATATCCTGCTCAGTTTTGTAGTTCATAATTTGTAGTAATAAGTGTCATCAAAAGCACTGAAAGTGTTGGTTTCTCTTAAATGATTGGAGACTGTTTGCATGCTGTTACCAACTCGCATATCTATAAGGAGGGCAGTAAAAGTGAGCTGAGATATTTAGTGACATAAAAAGAACCATGTAGATTTGTGAAAATGTAAAACTGTGATCATGGAAGAGGTTCATGAAGTAATGAGAGAAATGCTTCGTCCCTGGGCTAGTGATTCACTTGTAGCTTCTGTAATTTCATGGATGCTATAAGGATTTGGTTTTTACACATTTTAATTTAGTCCAGAGATGTTCCTATTTTAATTATCCATACACAAGGGCACAGTATCTTTCTACGGTTATTGCTATACGTTACATTTATATATAGCAATAGCAATTTGAAAAAAAAAAACAAAAAAACCACAACAAAATGCTTTCACCTAGATGACCAAAGGGTTATACTCATTTGTTTTAATGACACTATATGGACCTTTGCATTCTTAAACAGGATTTTCGAATACACGAGATGCAAGCACTGAAGGATGTGCACGCAAACAGATACCTGTCAGAGAATAAAAAAAGAATGTGTGCATGCAAACTGATACCTGTCAGAGAATAAAAAAAGAATGTGTGCACGTCTCCCCTTTCATGAAGGATTTGCGGGTGCTTTCGTGGCAGCCCCTGAATGGGGGGTGCCTGGAGCCTCTTGCTTTTCTGTGGAAATCAGAAGGCATTGAATCAGGGAATTTGAGAGCAAAGGGATTCCCACTGAGCCTCAGTGATCACATTTCAATATCTGGAAATCCATTTGCAGGAATGTGACATTTTAACTATCATATTGGACTCAGTCTATATGCATTAGCAAGGAGCTATGAGATAAAAAAACATAAAAATAAATGCACATGCCTAAATATATATCTATGTCTATTTAGTATCTGTTTATAAATATAGATGTATGCAATGTATAAAAAGAATAGTCTGATGAAAGCACATGTTGACAAAAACTGAAATGTAAATCACCCAGGTCACACACGCTCTGCTGCTGTGAAAGGCTGATTCCCTAATGGCCAGGGGGTAATTCTTCCCCCTTCCACGGAGAACCAGCGAGCGGAAATCCGTCGCGTTTAAGCGAATCTCCTGCAAGCCCTTCTGACCTGGGAGGTTGTGGAACTTCCTGCTGGCTGAGTCAGAGCTGGTCCAGCTTCTCGGGCAGCCCCGCACGGATGCCTGGGGGACCCTGCCCGGAGGCAGGGGACTCAATGTCACAAGCTCAGAGGGTCACTTCTACTAGTAAAGACTTTACTCTCTGGCCAGATGACCTGGTCCCACAGCCCAAGGGAAAACATCGTGCAAAAGGTCCCCTAGCCCACCCTGCTCGGGACACAGTGACCTTGGCCTGAGCTTGCTAGTCCTGTCTGTTGAATGGCGTGATGCTTGGCTTGGGAGGAAGGAGAGGAATTTAATGGTTTGTGTGAGTGTCCAGGGTCCTTGGAGGAAGGGCTTTTCCCAGGGTCGTTCACACAATGAATATCTGGGGGGCCCAATCTACCCACAGATGTATTTTGCTTGGTTCTCAGATTATTTGAAAAAAATTTGAATTTGTCGCCAGTATTTAGTAATTGGAGATTTCACATAATTATCTGGAATTCTGGTTTCATTCAAATGTTTGGAAGTGCTGGGAACACTGGGTCCTTACCACTGTGCAGAACAATTGATTTCTCTGGATGGTGCAGACACTCCCCAGGCCTTTGCAGACCCCCAACTCCTTGTTATCTCCCTGGCCCTGGCGGACATCTGACTTGCCACTGCAGGTGCTTCTGCAACATTGGTGTCACTGGGGGCCTGTGATCCTTGTTTTCTGGGATAGTTCAGCCACTGCTTTATGCAGCCTTGCCTCCCCTCACTGTGTGACCCACTGAGGTTTGTTACAAGTGACAAGTGGGCTGCAGAGTGTCAGCTACGTCGCTCGAAGGTGGAATCTTGCACGCGACCCGCTGGGGCAGTGTTCTTCAGCATACATGCAAGTCCTCTCCTGAGAACACGATCCTCCTAGACGTCTAGAAGGACCACCAGGTGCAGAAGAACCAGTCCTCAGAGGCTGATGTGTAAGGGGCTTACTGTGCAGCTTCCTCGCGCTCTGCGACAGCTGGGGTTGAGTGTTGAATCCACACACCTGCCTCAGCTAGGAGCACATTCCTGTGCCATTTAAAGATGCTGTCGCCTCCAAAACTGGGACTTGCCGAGGTCTGGGCTCTCACCCTGCTGCAGTTCCCAGTGAGTTAGTTTTTCTTTTCTTTCTCCCCCAGTAGTGGTAAGATAGGTGTATCTATTGGTATGTGTCTCTGTTTTGTGTTCTTGCTAGGCACAGCAGGATGGAGCCCCAGGCCAAGAAAGCTAAGGTGGGGGTCTCCATTCACTCTCTTCTTGTCTGGCACAAGGGAAGTTGCTGCAGGAGTGAGGGTGGCGCCGTGCAAGGCTGTCCCCACTGCTGGGACAGAGCTCAATGGCCCTGTTTACCCACACCCTCCCCCTTCCTCTGTTGGACTAGGAGTTTCTTGAGGACAGGGCCTGTCTCATTTTCATCTTTGTGTCTAAATGCCTGGGTGGATAGATTCATGGTGAACTGGTTCCGTCTTTTCTATGTATCTGGGATGGGAAGTTGCTAAATTAGCATGGCTGCTGCAATACAGCAGGTATGGGAGGTAGTTTTAGAAGCCTGGGCTGGAGGAGGTGAACCAAGAGGGCCATGGGCCTGCACTGGAACTTTGACTCTGCCACTTCTCAGCCATTTTCTTACCTAAATGAAGGAGGGGCTGGGTGAGATTTTTAAGGATACTCTGCCTGTTGAACTTCTTTCTTTCCTTTTCTTTTGTTTTCTTTTCATTTCTTCTCTCTCTCTCTCTCTTTTTGAGACGGAGTCTCGCTCTGTCACCAGTCTGGAGTGGAGTGGTGTGATCTCGGCTCACTGTAACCTCCACCTCCAGGGTTCAAGCGATTCTCCTGCCTCAGCCTCCCAAGTAGCTGGGACTACAGGCACCTGCCACTGCGCCTAGCTAGTTTTTGTATTTTTAGTAGAGGCGGGGTTTCACCATGTTGGCCAGAGTGGTCTTGATCTCTTGACCTCATGATCTGCCTGTCTCGGCCCCCCAAAGTGCTGGGATTACAGGCGTGGGCCACTGTGCCCTTCCTTCCTTTCTCTTCCTCTTCCTCTTCCTCTCCTCCTCCTTCTTTTTCTTCTCCTCCTCCTCCTCCCTTCTCTTGTCTTCTCTTCTCTTGTCTTCTCTTCTCTTCTCTTCTCTTCTCTTCTCTTCTCTTCTCTTCTCTTCTCTTCTCTTCCCTTCCCTTCCCTTCCCTCCCCTCCCCTTCCCTTCCCTTCCTTTCCTTTCCTCCTTCTCTCTCTCTCTTTCTTTCCTCTCTCCCCCCAGCTTTCTCTCCTTTCTCTCTTTTTTTCTTTCTTTCTATAGGGTCTCCCTCTGTCATCCAGGCTGGAGTACAGTGGCACGTGATCATATCTCATTGCAGCCTCAACCTCCTGGGTTCAAGTGATTCTCCTGTCTCAGCCTCCCAAGTAGCTGGGACTACAGGCGTGCATCACCACGCCGGGCTATTTTCATTTTTTATTTTTTGGAGACACAGGTTCTCACTATATTGCCCAGGCTGGTCTCACACTCTTGGCCTCAAGCAATCCTCCCACCTCAGCCTCCCAAAGCACTGGGATTATAGGCATGAGGCACCACGCCTGGCCTGAACCTCTTCCTTTCTTTTCTCTCTCCTCTACCTGTGTTGTCTGTCCAACACAACTGCCAGATCTGACCCTGGAACACAGTGTTACTTATTCATTGATTGATTGGAACACCATTTTTTGTTTTTTTTGGGATGGAGTCTCACTCTATTACCCAGGCTGGAGTGCAGTGGCATGATCTTGGCTCACTGCAACCTCCACCTCCTGGGTTCATGTGATTCTCTCGCCTCAGCCACCTGAGTAGCTGGGACTACAGGCTCTCGCCATCAAGCCTGGCTAATTTTTGTATTGTTAGTAGAGATGCAGTTTCGCCGTGTTGATCAGGCTGGTCTTGAACTCCCGACAAGTAATCCGCCCCCCTCAGCCCCCCAAAGTGCTGGGATTACAGGCATGAGCCACCACGCCTGGCCTGGAACACCATTTTCTTAAGGGTCTCTGAGACCTAACCGTGGTTTGAGCTGGAGGTACTGTCACGTACCTGTCAGCGGGCAGCAGTGCCTGTCAGAAGGCCACAATGCCTTCGTTATCAATAAGACTTGCCATCCTGAGACTGTGTGCACACTCTTCTTTTCCTGCCTTCTCCATGAAGCAGCCATACCTGGACCCCGCTGCAGGTGCTGTTAGTGCCAGGACTTTGCCCCTCTCAGAAGCGGGGGCTGACGTTCCCAGAAGTTGAACTTGGATTGACAGCTGGCAGGTTGTTGCTGAGATAGTGGTCACTGGAAAGGTGCACTTGACCCAGACTGGTTTTGGTTTTACTGGAAATCTGTATTCAAATGCTCTGGTTTCTGTTCATTGTGTCTAAAGAGAAATAAAAATTAATTTAGCATTTGAGACCCCAGTGAGGACAGAGCCTGTCTCATAACAAGCTCAAAAGGATCTCCATTCTGACCACACAAGAAGAAGATTTTGAGTGAGTTTTGAGGGGATACACAGGATAAGGGAACAAAAGCCCCTCTGGCCTAAGAGGTTAGGGTGAGAGAACGGTAGTTTCCTTAAATATGCCTATAATGCAGCGTTTCTGAGAACACGGAACTGGAAAAAGGAAATTACCAGAATGCCTAGGATGAATGAAATGATTCTTAGCTGAAGCTCTTGGAAGAAAGGCTTTTTTTTCTTTTTCTCAGTGTTGAGACTAAAGGCTTGTTCCTACAAAGGTGTCAGAATAGAGGGTGGCAGGTGCATCTCCAAGGGCTACAAACTCAGGTGACTGCCCAGGTCAGGTAGGACATATGCGTGGGTGAGCACAGGAAGGCGGGGTGCTCCTTGGCCCACGCTTGTGTATTCCTGGCTGAACCCTACCAGAAGAACAGAAAGGGTAGTAACCAAGGGACGAAGAGCCAGGCACAGTGTGCATCCCTGGAGGCTCACATATATACACATCTCTGCCTTACGCACCCTCTGCCACCTCCTTCCCCAAAGTTTTTGCTGCTTAACTATGTCCAAGTCCCCCCCGTTCTGTAAGAGCTAAGAATTAACCTTGAGTTGATGTCCCTCTTGCTGTGCGTTGCCAGAAATTGATGTATATTTGACTCCCTGCATGTCCTACCCCAGTGTACATTGACCAGATTGTAACATCTTTGATGGGAGGCTGTTTCCCTGCTCCTCCCTGCCATTGTAGCCAGGGCTGGGCAATACAGGGAGTATCCACGTATCTTTCTTTGTGGGTGGGCTGGTGAGGTCAATGAATCTCCGAGGTCTTGCAGGCCTGGGGTTCTCATTGCAAAGGCCATCCAAGACAAACAGGGAACTTGTTTTAAGCATATTGCGCGGAATTCGAAGCAAACGCTGGATCCAAATAGTCAGAAAGGTGGTTGGGGCTTCAGGCTTTCCAAACCCATCTGTAGAGTTGTATGATTTACTGAAATACAAGAATGTTCTGTTTTTACTGCTCAGAGCTCCCAATACCCAGTTATTTGTTTTACACATTTTCCCCATTAGAAAATGAAACATAGCAATTAGAAACCAACCCAGATTGTTCTGCATTTAGGGGTTTTCACATATCTACTTGATAATTTTGTATCTGTAGCAGTTTGGGCATAGCAGTCTTAAAGAGCCTTGTTTGGATTGTTGGAATAATGTTTTCCAGTTCAAAGTAACTGTTAGAATGGTAAAAAAAAAAAAAAAAAAAAAAAAATTGCGTGGCAAAACTCAAGTCTATTAGCCTTGCCGTTCACACCTGCAGTTTCTCTAGTTTCTCTGTATCCAGGTGTGGGGTTAATGCAAGCACCTCGGGTATATTTTCCGGGATTCTTTAGGAAAAGAGATAAAAAAAGAGAGAGAGAGAGAGAAACCCAAGATGCCTAATCAGAAATTACCTTACTGGTAGTAAAACCCAAATTCATGAGAATGTATAAAAATAGATTTCTTTTAAATGCCAGGGAAGAGATTTGGAAGCGTTTTGGCAGATTGGGATGCATGGACCGACCTGCGCCAGGTTCTTCTTACGTTAATAAATATTCATTTTGTTTTTTTGGGGGGGAGTCCAAGTACTAAGCAGAGGGTCCTTGTTGTAGAAGTGAGATCTATTTCCACAGTGAGAAATTTGAGAAATTCGAATTCTTAAATACCAGGTATTCTTTTCTAAAAATGTAACTCTTTCCTCGCAATTCAAACGGTGCAGGGGGACAGCTGCTCCTGGAGATGGATTCAGCCACGGCCTTTTCTTCTCTCGTGCAGCTAAGCCAAGCCAGGTATGAAAACGGTGCTCCCTTCCCCTTCTCAGACATCTTGTTTTTCTTTCTTGGACACACAGAAAAAGCTTCATTCAATATTGATAGTGTTTTGATACATTAAAATTGAGAGCAAGTCAGAAATCTTATATACAATGTACACAGATATCAGTTTTTCCTGGTTTCGCCATTTTTGACCAAAAGCGTCAATATTTTACAGGGATTTCTTTTCCCTTCAAAGCCTGCAAGAAGTCCAATTCTCACAGAATGCATGTCCAGTTGGTACTGAAACGGTTCCCCCCAACATGTCTGTGGAGATCGCGTTATTAATATTATTTGAAAAAAATCTACTTACCACTTGTGTTCAATTTAGCAAATTTGGAGCTCGAAAAAAAATCTCAAAATGATTTTCCTTCATCTGGCAGAGAGTAACATTGTTCATAATAAGTAAAAATAAATGTTTTGCCATTCTAACAAATAATGTAAATAAACTAGAAGATATATTTCAAACAATATAGTTCATTTAAATTTATTTGAAAGACAAGGTAAAGAGAGAGAGAAAGAGAGAGGGAGAGATGGAGAGACAGACCTAAGTTGCAGCTGTTCCAAAGATTTCGGGTACAAATGTTCTTTCATTCCTTTGCATGATTTTGATAAAATTAGGTCAAAGAAATGTTCATTTGAAAACAGTGCTTTGTCATATTATCTACAACACATGTCTAGCAAATTTATGAATCCAGCATTCATCTGCGTGAAGTTTCAAATCCTAATGAATGGTTTAGACAGCATTGTCATCAATTTTCCGCAGGTGCAGCTGAGGCAATCAGTCAATTCAATCAAAAGCCTCCGTCAACTTGCGTGGCGCTGTCATTTTTTACATTCGGATTGCTGAAATTAACAAAAACGATCCCTCCCTGAATGCCGTTACACCCCTCCTGCCTTTGGGTGGCGCTTTTGAGCAACGCTTTGCCGCTCGCCGTGCTGCAAGATCTCGCAGCATTTTTTTTAACTTTATACTAACATAATATTTCTTTTGTGATATTATGGAGATAAAATTGCACTGTGTGTTTTAACACACATTACAACAACCTCTTAAGGCAAAAAAGTAAATTCATGCAAATGAGTTATAGAAAGTGAAAAAGATTTCTTGTTCGGTGCGATGCACGGTGGGACCCGGCGCTGGGAAACACTCCAATTGCCAGGTTCTGAACTTCCTCGTCCCTTCTCCTGTCAGGCTGTGCAATAGATTGCAATGCGGGCTCTCAACTTTGGAACTGTTGCTTTAAGATTTAAGAACCAGGCCACCTGGTTGCCTTTATCTTGTGTTTCCTCTGGGTTTACCTTCCACTGCCTTCCAGCAGTCTCTAGAAATCTCCAGGGTGGGCTTTACTGGTGTCGAGAGAGGCACGTTTTATTGCAACCTGGGTGATGAGAATTCTCTTCTTATCATTGCAAGCTATTGAGCTCCTTCTCTTCAAAGGGTTAACTCCTTCAAACCCTGCCACTTACCTTAAAAGAGTTAAAGATCCTAAGAAAGAAAAGCTTTGGCTTTTTAACTCATTGACAAATAACATTGTTTCCAAAACTCTGTGATCTAAGGAGGATTTCAGCAGTGCCAGTGAGGTAAAGAGAAAACTGCAAGAGACACTCTGCATATGGCGAAGATGAACACTCCTGTCTTCTGTCTCCTAAGAACATTACCAGGTTCCTTCTAAATCTTTAAAATATATGGACAGACAGAAAGCACTTAGCATCAGTTTCTCCATGATGAATAGAGTTAACCTTTGTAGTTCGCCAAAAGTCAGTAAGTTTTTCTTTCCCATTTGTTTCAGTTGAGCGACGAGTAGAAATGCAGGTAGGACCAGATAAACTCACATTGTCTTGGCCTTTTTGCTTAATGACAGCAGCCGACTGCAAAAGAGACGTGCTAATATTAACTTATTTAAATAATCAGGTTACATGTAGTGACAGACAGATGCACTCAAATTTATTAAAGTGGCTTGAAAAATATTTAGATGCCTTTCCTTTGCAGACATCATGAATGGTCAATTGCCCCAACATTTCTGTGGCTGCATTAAAAAATACACTTGGTTTCTAGAAGAATGCAAATTCCAAGGAATATAATAAAAATGTTCTTTTAAATAACTAGTTATGTCACTTTGCAAATAGCTTTGATGTAGCATTCCTGCCTGCATAAAGTTGAAGCTACATCTGTGTCAGCCATACCTGCGTTTATGATACCTTCCCTGAGAGAGCAATTAGGGGCTGGTGAGGGCTGGAGTTCTAGCTAATATTTGAAACTACATGTGCGTCTGCAAGCTAAAGGGGAAAAAAGGACTGTGATCATCTGTGAATAGAGAAAAGAATTCTAACAACTCCTACCTTTTAGACACTTGATAAAAAATGCGGTTGGGGGTGCCTGGAGAGTCTCAAGGGAGTGGCTTTTCCGCTGAGAAATGAAGACTGCCACATAGCCGCCAGCCGGGCTTGCTATAGGAAGCTTACAATTCGGCTCTCTTCCATGGAGTTTGAAGTTAAATGGTCCTGTCTGTTTCTTCTCTTGTTTGTGTCACTTGTTAAAGATGCCTTGAAATGCACCATTATAGTTTCTTTTTAGTTGATTGTAACAGAACTAAGCGAGTCATCTTGCATTTTGGCTACCTCTAATTTCCTATAAGGGCCTATGGAATAGATCTTTTCTTTTCTTTTCTTTTTTTAATTGCCCAAATATAAAAACATTTGACTTGCTATTACTCTTAATGTAACTGTAGATCTTGTAATAAAAGGTGAAGTGAAATTGAGTGTCCATAAATCAAGCAAATGAATGTACAGAAAAGAACTAACCATACATATAGTCAAAAATACGTGTAGCCTTAAAGGAGATGCTCGGCATTGTGTGTGTGTTTTAATGTTATGCTTTTCATTAGGCTGGACTCTGTTGTACAGGGAAGACAAGTATTTCCGTATTTGAATTTTTCTTTCTCTCTTCCAATCCAAAAGAGAATTTCTTTTGTTGTTGTTGTTGTTAGTTTCCTTCTGAAAGGGAAAGAAATTAACATTGCTTTCCCCCCATGAATATATGTGGTGAAAAGCTTGCAGGGTGTTTTGACGAAGCATGCAAAATGTTTTATTAATCAGAGTAATAGAGTAGAAATGAAGGCAGTACGTCTTTAAAAGTGCCTGGGTGTCCAGGTACGCGGGGAGATCCGTAAAACCGTTGACCAAGCACAATGTACGTAGACAAATGTCTTCTCATTGTGTGATGCGTGAAGGCCATGATAGATGGCTTCTAACAACAAAGCGTGGCCACAGAGACAAAATTAGTGTTGTTTTAATTACCAGTGTCTGTAATGTTATCTATCCATAACTGCCTGAAATAGACCGTCACAGAGGGTCAGAAGGCGACCCGAGCTCATACTTCCACACGCAGCTTCCTTATCGGTTCTGGAGTTGTAACAGCAGTGTGCTTAAAAAAAAAAAAAAAAAAAAAAAGAAAAAGAAAAAGAAGAAAAGAAAAAGTTTAATTCTTCACTTGAAACATTTATTTATAACAAAAAAATTGTTTCTTGTTTAAGGGAAGTGCCTTTATCTTTTACTTTCAAAGCAGATCTTATTAAATGCTATTTGGAGGTCAGAGTAATGGGCAGAAAATGGGACTGGCCTTGACATTCTTCAACGAAAGTTTACACTCTCGGAGCGGTGTTTTTTGTCAGTCACAAATAGCATTATGACACTAATAGGAAAGAAGGTTCTTTATTTTTGAAACCTCCTTGAGCTGAGATGGGCTGCTCTTCAGACATTAGTAAGTGTGTATATTGTGAAGATGAAGTATCCCTTACTTTCTGAGCTTGCGGGAGATGAAAGATAGGCCAGTTTTTGAAAATGGCCTGCGTGGCACATGCTATAAATGAGCAGGGAAAGCAATCGAGCTAATAGATTACAGTAATTATCCAATCTTTGGCTAGTTTGTATTGGCAAACTATAAATACAGTACACATTAGAACAAGGTGCTTTCAGAATGTACATGAAAGGTCATTGTAAT